GTTGATGCCTCGATCCGTGGGTCACTCACATAGGGGTTCCCTACCTGAAACAAACATCGACATGGAAAACTACTGTTTGTAGAGGAAAACGGTCTTTCCAATAGCAATTGTCCACCTCCATGATTGTTGGAGGGAGTGTAAATCTCTTGGACTAGCATTATAAAAAAACTTTCATATGGTAAGGCCAGAATCCGTGATTTAAAAAAAGGGCAAAAAAAGAAAAAAAATCAACTGAAAAAGTCAAAGTCAAAAAAATCAAATTGAAAAGTCAAAAACACATCAAAAAAAGTCAACCATAGACCACAGCTCGAAAAAGTCAAAAAAGAAAAGTCAAACAAAAAAAACAAAAACATCAAAAAAAAACCTCGAAAAACAAGTCAAAAAAGAAAGTCAAAAAAGTCCCAAAAAAAACGTCAAAACTGTGGCTCCTCGCCTTGGCGGCTTACTGGAATCAAGAAAAGTCAAAAAAATCAAAAAAAAACAACGAAAAACAAATCAAAAAAAATAACCGTAGACCACAGCTCGAAAAAGTCAAACAGATCAAACAAAATTAAAAAAAATCGAAAACTGTCAAAACAAAGTCAAAAAAGAGTCAAAAAAAATCAAAAAAACATGTCAAATTGAAACGTCAAAAAACATCGAAAAATATCAAAAAAGGTCGGATCTGGGCAAATTGACTTTTTCGTTTTTTTGTTTTTTGACTTTTCAATTTGACTGTTTTTGACTTTGACTTTTGGGATTGATTCTTTTTGACTTTTTTAAACTTTAGAAAACAGGCTCTTTCCAATGAAAGTTCTTTATAAGACTAGCAGGGATATGACTCTTTGCTCCTTTTCAACCCAAACCAACCCAAAAATACCAAAAATATTGGGTGATTTGAGGAACCGCGTGTATCCAAATGTTGCAGAAAAAAGAAGACACACATTCCAAGCACCCTATCGGACTGGCATATTTACCTACATTGGGGTGGTTGACCCGGGATCCACCACCCTACCCACACGGCCCAAACGCTCCCCAAACGGCCTCCCCAACAGCAGGCTTTTGCTACTTCAATATGATGTTCGTTCTTCAACGTGTGGCCTGCAAAGTATACAGTATGGGTTGACTATGGGTTGACTTTGTGAGAGCTGAAATCACGTCTTTGTAGAAAAGTTCTGACTGGTGCCAATCGGTAAGACTTGACCCATGGCTGAGTTTTGAGGGTTTCCATGGGTTTCTTCTTTTCAGCCTTGAAAACTGTTTGGTTGCCATACCCATCCGTACCCTGGCCAAGACAAACAACGCAGGATATCTAGCTTGGGCACTCGACACTGTTTCCAGAATCAGGGTTGAACACGTGTTCAAACAAACACAAACCTTCCAAGTAACAAACGTTGTTCAAACAAAACTGTTCCCAAAGCTACCATTGTAGAGATGTCCATTTGTGACAATGTAGCAACGTACTCAAACATCGCATGCAGCGGAAACCATATTCTTTCCTAGAGATTCCGCCTTCAGGGCAAATTAGTCGAACAAATGGCCCCTTGGAAGACCCTTTTCCTCTACAAAAAAAGGTTAGTTTTCCATGTAGTATGTCTTACAAAAACCCTACTCCAACATAAACCACGTGACAGCGTGGTTTACCAATTCAGCCACTTCCACTCACCAATTCTGGGGCATCGTACCGATATCCATCAAGGGCATATCTGCATCCTCAGAAAGCTCGATTGGGCGACTCAACCAGCATGTGTATGTAACATTATGTAACTATTCCGTACATGGGTGGTCTGGGATTTCGTGCTCATGTAAAACATTGACCAAAACGATTGGAAATAAAGAACACACCTCACCTACTGAAGTTGGATCCCTGCTCAAAGCACGGCACATGTTAAAGGTGGACCAAATATTTGTTTGGGTAGCATGTTGGACGATCCTCCAATAGCAGATCATGTACGATAACCCGATACACCGTTTTAAACATACATAGTTCCCCAAAGAACTTTGATAGTCCTTACACTGGCATTGACCGCGGATACCAAGTAACTCCAAAAACACAGGCAAACAAGCGATGAGACACTTCAGTGGGCGTCGAAATTGCAGCTCGTGTTGGCGAAGCTGGCGTCTAGGACCATTGTTGAGGAGGCAGCAGAACATGCAGCAACGGCAAATTACACCGGCACAGACCCCAGATAGCAACCAACTCAACTGGAAACACATCTTTTCCTTAGCCCAGCGAGCTGTGAGACAAGTGGGGAGACATGCGTGTAAGGGTACAAGTGGGGAGACAAGGCAGCACAGGGGCACAGCAGCGGCCAACTGCTAAGCGCTCCTTTTTACGCTCTTGAGCTGTGATGCCCCCCAAAACAATCAGCTCCCAGGCTCTCATATAATTACTGCAAATAGAACTATACCAATTCCTGAAACAGAGGATTTGTCGCAACAAAGCCATTGTTGCAGCAAAGAGGGATGTGTTTTTGCTTACAGGATCTTCTAGTGACAGTCCGTCCGTCCACTTGTTCGTCCTGCAGTGCAAAAACCGCATCAGACACACTAAAGCCATCTCAAGAAAGCAACTCAACTCAGCTGCCAGGTACGGAGAAAAATATTCTGGCCCTTGCGTCTAATGAGAAATACTATGGCAGCACTTATTGCTCGTCTAAAGCTGTGCTGCTCATAGAGGTGCCCCACGCACACCAATGTTGCCCAATAACCTGGCTGGGCCAGTGCGACTGGGCGTCTAATCAAAGCAAGTTGGTGTGTGGCACACCGAAGCCGTAGACCTAGAAGATGGCGTGCGTGGCTAGAAGGCTCGACTGCAAGAAGGCCGGTCTGGATGAACCACGCTGCATCGTTTTCCTTTCAGTGCATCACCCATAAGCACACACGATCTCCATTTTGCTACGCGCAGCAAGTCCGCAGGGCACCCAAGGCGCTTCCAGTGTTCACCCACACTGGTTGGAGACACCAGCATCCAAGACTTGAAAGCGGTGTGGAAGGATGCTGCTTTGGCTGAGGGAAGGCGCATGACCGGAGTAGGTACGAACATGCATCCCCAGTCAGGGCTGCCAAAACTTTTCCAGCGAAAGAAGCATTTTTGAACCGTGTTCATCACTGTATGGACAACACTTCTTTCTGACCCTTGCCCCCTCAAACTTGTATTTGTGTCATCTGCCACGATTGTGTTCACGGCATGGTGAATCTCACAATGCGGATGGAACAAAGTCATGACTCGGTTTGCCATGCTCTTGACAAAGCTCCACACACACACACCTCGCTCGTCCATGGGCAAACTCACTGTTAGGCTTTGCGTTGTGCGGGGAAGACATGTATAAGTAGTTCATTTCCAAATAACATCTCTTTAAAATTGATACTCTTAGTCGATGCGGCAGATCTGTCGAGGGTTCTACCAGGTACTTCGCAGTACGGCATAATTGCAACCGTCGATTGGGCTGAACCTGGAAGTAAAGAGTGTCCTCACTCTAGTGTGGCGAAGCTCCCTAGTGTGGACAAGGCCACAGGTTACTTGGGATCGTCTACAAATGAGTCGTCGACGGCACCACTACTCCTATACTGCTGCTGCCGCTGTCCACGCTGCTGGCGCGTGGTTGCCGCACTCCAGCATCAAATTGTTCAAGGCTCAAGCTGGTCAAAGCCCAAATCTGAAGTGATCACCCGACATCAACTCGGAGTGAGGTACACTTCAGCCTCTCACCCCAGCACCAGTCACCAGTCCCAGACTCAGTCCCAGCACAAAACCAGCCATCAGTGCCGAAGTCAGCCCTGGCACAAAACCAGCAAAAAACGATGATGTTGGACTCAGTTTCAAACTGTTGGCATTGCTGGATGGGGGCCAGCGCCAGTCCTAAGCCCAGTCCAGTCCAGTCCCAGTGCCAGTCACAGAATCTGGGGAAGAGGATGAGGACGTGGGCATTGTGCTGCGTGAAGGTGGGACCTTTAGTTTTCATTTGCATCAAGGTGCATCGTGGGCTGCAAGGACTGAAGGTAGTGCTGAAGGTGTGGCAAAGATCAAAGCCCACAGCGTTGTTTGGGCGGTGAGCGGACAGTGGATTGCAGAGGAGTGTGCAGAGCCAACATTCCCCAAGCTGCGTCACCCTGTGTTGGCCACAAACCAATGCCTCGCCAGTGCCGAATGTTCCACTGCAGATGCTGCAAAGTCCGCCACAGCTCAATGCCTCGACAGTGCCGAATGTTCCACTGCGGACGCCGCAAATTCCGCCGCAACAAGGTACAACCGACTTCGCGGCGAAGTCCTCCGGTGGGTGTGCAAAGTGCACAGGCGAGCGCTGCCTCTTCATCCTCATTGCCTTCGAGCGTGAAATGTTTCAAAATGGTTCAACGCCGAGATGGAAGTCACAGGACTTGATCCGGCCATGACCTCACCAATGCCGTGTGACAGTCAGCCACTGTGAGCTTTTTAGTTCCCACGCCCAAATGGGTCCGACGGGTCATGGCAAACCATCACGCCTTTTGGGGCGGTGTCAGTGAAGATACTGCCATGGCTTCCTGCACAGCAAGTCCAGACAGATCTTTCACCTTTGTGACCAGATCCTCGAGCTGCTCATTGTCATGGCGCCGGTGCAATGCCGCATGGAGTCATGGGTTGCTCCAGTGGTTGCTCTTCCCTTTCAACGCCCTTGACTTTTTGTCAAATCCAGTGATAGAAGAAGAGATGTGAGATGATCAGTAGATGAGTTGACCCACTTTGCTTGGCCATGGTGTCCACATTGCATTGCCGGTACCAACACAGACGGCTGCATGGCCCGAGACAGTCCTGGTGGTTGCCTATGGGGTTACACACTGGTATTGTCAGTCCCGCTTTCAGTCCCAGGACAAGGGTGACACAAAGTCAAGAATCAAAGAGAGTATCAAAGAGCTAAGATGATGTCAGTGATGATACCATAGTCTCGCTGGTTTTTAGATTCAAAATTAGGAGGCATGCCACAACTTAAGCTTCCTGCAAAGCCAAACAGCTAGCGAAACCCATATTCATGGCAAGCCACTGATGGCTGCTCCAAGCGTGCTGATGTCAGCCCTGACTCAAAGCTGAAGCTCTTGGGCGTATAGAAGACCAACCCCATGGGCTTCATCACCATCTTATGGGGGACATCAATCTTGGTGGTATCAATCTTGCCATCTCCCTCCGCCTCTGGCTCAGCATCCACAGCCTGAGAAAGCAACCATCAACCAACTAATCAACCACTGCTGCACCATTACCCACCTGAATGAATCTCCATGACCACTTCATCCAAGCAACAAATGCACAGGAGCAAAGGACTGTTGGAGCTGACTCAGATGCTTCATCATACCCAAAAGCTGCCGCATAATCGCTGCACTTTGGGCTTCTGGCTGAAACACTGTGCCCCCCTCTATCTGTTTGAATGGCTTGATGGCATTGTTCTTTGTAACGGTCCCCTTGGCATAAATCTCGTCCACATGGATCTTCTTCAGGAGCTCCTTGATGCTCAGAAACGTGTGCTCACCTTCGACCATAGCAAATACCTGGGTTCGCAATGTCGCATTCGCGAAACTTTTGCGGATCTTTCGCGAAATTTCAGTGGCGATTTCTGCGGGAAGGCGTAACATTGGCAAACATCTGCGCAGCCCGTCAAAGCAGCTTCAGGTCGTGGCCTCACTGTCAGGGCTGTGCCTACTCAGGTTGCTAGTCTGTGACAGTGGGGACAGGAAATGTTGAGGCTCCAGTTAGTCTTTGACAATGGGGACATGCGGGGGCACTTCTGCCCACCGGCTCTGACGGAGGATTGCCTATTTCTATCATTTGTCGGTCAGTATAGAAAGGAAAACACATGAAAGCGAAGACCTTCGATAAATCTTTCGTTGAAAACTACACTTTCGCGAACCTCATCGCGAATCTTTCACAGATGGACGGGGATGAAGATCAACTCCTTGCAAGTAGACAAGGCAGCAACGGCAAACAAAAGGCCGATCACACAGGCAAACAAGTGAGGAGAAGGCTGGGGAGAGAAGTGGGAAGACAAGTAAGCAAGTAGGCAGCAACGGCAAATAAAACACCGATCGCACAGGCAAACAAGTGAGGAGAAGAATGGAAAAAGTGGCAAGACAAGTAAGTAGACAAGGCAGCAACGGCAAACCATATGCCGATCACACAGGCAAACAAGTGAGGAGAAGAATGGGGAGAAAAGTGACAAGACAAGCAAGTAGACAAGGCAGCAACGGCATTTAGAGGTGATGCCTATGAATGACTCCGAAGTATTCCAATCGATTGGGCTTTGCCCAGGCACAGTATCAGTGACCACATGCAAATCATACCAGAAAAAACATTAGGATGACTTTGATTTGCATTCTTGACGCTGGCTACAATAGTCATGTACCACAAACCCCTCAAGTGAATCGGGTGCCCATTTTCATCTGAGCGCATCCACTCGCAAAATGATCGAAAGTTTCGATCTACTCAAAAATGGTCTGGGAGTTCTGCCAAAACATCATATGGCAGGCCTGGTAGAAGGGGCTGGCTCTAGGGGGAGGCCTGGCTGGGCCCCAGCACAGTGGGCAGCCCCCGAAGTTCCAGGCCCAGGGGGCTGCCTCTCTAAACAAAAAGAAAACTGGGGGCCCGCTCTTTTCAAAAGGAAAATGAAAAGAAACACAACCACAAAAAAAAACAACACATTACTTTACTTCGAGTGATCCCCACCATGAAATTTCAATCATTTGACTTGATGCCATAGTGAGGAGCATGTTGCCATGGTCGTGAGTATTGTAGTTCTCGATTTTGCTTGTGGGTCCTCGGGTTGTGTGCTGCGGTTGTGTGTTGTGGTTGTGGTTGTGGTTGTGTTTGTGATTGTGTGTTTGTGGCTGTGTGTTTGTGATTGTGTGTTTGTGGTTGTGTGTTTGTGGTTGTGTTTGTGTTTGTGTGTTTGTGGTTGTGTTTGTGGTTGTGTGTTTGTGGATGTGTTTGTGGTTGTGTTTGTAGTTGTGTGTTTGTGTTTGTGTTTGTGGTTGTGTGTTTATTGTTGTGTCTTTGTGGTTGTGTGTTTGTTGTTATGTTTGTGGTCGTGTGTGGTTGTGTTTGTGGTTGTGTGCTGTGGTTGTGTTTGTGATTGTGTTTGTGGTTGTGTGTTGTGGTTGTGGTTGTGATTGTGCTTGTGATTGTGTATTTGTGATTGTGTGTTTGTGGTTGTATTTGTGGTTGTGTGTTTGTGGTTGTGTGTTTGTGGTTGTGTGTTTGTGGTTGTGTGTGTGGTTGTGTCTTTGTGGTTGTGTTGTTGTGGTTGTGTGTTTGTGGTTGTGTTTGTGGTTGTGTGTCTATTGTTGTGTGATTGTGGGTGTGCGCTTGTTGTTATGTTTGTGGTTGTGTTTGTGGTTGTGTGTTTGTGGTTATGTCTTTGTGGTTTTGTTGTTGTGGTTGTGTGTTTGTGGTTGAGTGTTTGTGGTTGTGTGTCTGTGGTTGTGTGTCGATTGTTGTGTCTTTGTGGGTGTGTGTTTGTTGTTATGTTTGTGGGTGTGTTTGTTGTTGTGTTTGTGGTTGTGGTTGTGGTTGCGTGTTTGTGGTTGTGTTTGTGGCTGTGCGCTTGTGGTTATGTGTTTGTATTTGTGTGTTTGTGGTTGTGTTTGTGGTTGTGAGCTTGTGGTTGTGTTTGTGGTTGTGTGTTTGAAGCATACTATCTGCCATTTAATCTGCCATTCTATCTGGCAATCTATCTGACATACTATCTGGCATCCTGTCTGGCATACTATCTGGCATTTTGTCTGGCATACTATCTGTCGTTCTATCTGGCATATCTTCTGGCATTCTATCTGGCATGTAATCTGGCATTCTATCTGGCATATTTTCTGGCATGATATCTTGCAATGTATCTAGCAATCTATCTGACACACTATTTGGCATACTATCTGGCATATCTTCTTGCAGCATTCTATCTGGCAATCTACCTGGCATTTTATCTGGCATTCTATCTGGCAAACTATCTGGTTGAGGTCCAGCGGTGCACGCTGCGATCGGATTCTTGCGGTTGAGGTCCAGCGGTGCACACTGCGATCGGATCCTTGCGGTTGAGGTCCATGGGTGCACACTGCGATCGGATCCTTGCGGTTGAGGTCCAGGGATGCACACTGCGATCGGATCCTTGCGGTTGAGGTCCAGGGGTGCACACTGCGCTCGGATCCTTGCGGTTGAGGTCCAGGGGTGCACACTGCGATCGGATCCTTGCGGTTAAGGTCCAGGGGTGCACACTGCGATCCGGAGCTGGCCAGACAAGATCGGCGAAGCAGATTGGCGAGGAAGGAAGCAAGGAGGAAGGAGGAAGGAGGACGAGGAGGCGGCGGAGGCGGAGGAAGAACAACTGTGATGAAATCTAACAACCCTCACCTGGCAGGTGGGGAAAAACGCACAAAACTGACCACAACTTTGTGTGTTGTTTTTTTGGTGTTTTTTTCCTGATTTGTGCGTTATCTTTCATGTGTTTTTTGTGGTATGGCTTGTGGTATTTTTGTGGTATGATTTGTGGTTGCGTTTGTATTTTTTTGCGGTATGACTTGTGGTATTTTTGGAGCTTTTTTTGTTGTATGATTTGTGGTCGCGTTTGTGTTTTTGCGGTATGACTTGTGGTATTTGTGTGGTCGTGTTTTTGTTTGTTTGGTGTGACTTGTGGTCTTTTGTGGCATGATTTGTTGTTTTTTCAATATAAAATCAAAGGGGAGTGGCAGGAGAACAGGCCATGTGCATTGATGTTGTGACTTTTGTGGTATGATTTGTGGTCGCGTTTGTGTCTTTTTGTGGTCTGACTTGTGGTTTTGTGCTTTGTGGTATTTTTGGTGGTGTGGTTTGTGGTTGCGTTTGTGGATTTTTTGTGGTATGACTTGTTTTTTTGTGTTTTTTGTGGTATGATTTGTGGTCACATTTGTGTTCTTTTGCGGTATGACTTGTGGTATTTTTGGCGTTTTTTGTTGTATGATTTGTGGTTGCGTTTGTGTTTTTTGTGGTATGACTTGTGGTTTTTGTCATATGATTTGTGGTCGCGTTTGTGCTTTTTGTGGTGTGACTTAAGTTTTTTGTTGTATGATTTGTGGCCGCGTTTGTGTTTTTCGTGGTGTGACTTGTGTTTTTTGTGTCATGATTTGTGGTCCAGGGCGGAAGACAACCACAAGTCAAGCCACAAAAAACAAATGCACAGGAAACTTGACAATTTTACCTTTTGTTTGAAAATTTTGGGTGGGGAGCCGGGAGCAACGGGGTGGGGAGGCGGGAGCCAGGGGGTGGGGAGCGGGGAGCCAGAGCCAATTCGCACTTGGCTCTCATGTAATCACAATCGTACTTTCCCTCCTTTCTTTCCTCTTTCCTTCGGCTGTGAGAGCATGAACAAAAGATTAATCTTGTGGTAAGTAGGGTCAACCATTCTTTGAATTGCCACTTGAGGTTGACCAATTAGTGAAGGGATGATGTTGGTTGTTTTTGGTTTGCAAATATGTTCAGATTTGTGTTCTTTAGAGTTAACCCGCCCACTGATCCAATCATTTGCATTTCCTAGACCAGAACCCGCCCACTGATCCAATCATGTGCATTTCCTAGACCAGAAATTGCAATCCAATTTCCCAAAATGACTTTGAATATGCGTTTTTTTGGGGGTATGGTTTAAGGGCCCTGACCCTTTACGACTGTTACTGTGGGGGGGCAGGGCCCAACCAATAGAAGTACAACCGTGCTTTGGATTCTCTATGTTATCATCTATTAAGTCTGTTGAATGTCAACAAAACCTGTAGCAACGAAGAGATCTTGAGATTAGACGCCTCCTTGGCTAGAAAAGCAAATGCCAATAGGCTCTTCATGGCTCTTCAAAAACCGCCATGTAAAGCTAAACAGTTGCTCACAGGTTCTCTTTCTCATCAGCCTGCTACGTTCCATCGTTAAACAACTTGAAGTCGACTTCAAGTACCAACCTAGGAAAAACAAGGTACCTGACCCAATCAACACAGGTACCTGTCTCCCGACCTTGGAAGTATCAACAAAGGGTGCAAATACCTAACTTTCATGACAATCTCATGACCTTGGATTTGCTTGTTTCGGAACCTGCCCCTAAAAAACACCTATTTCCCGGTTCGGTGCTGTTCCCCAAAATCACCATCAAATCCGCCCACTTCGCCCACACCCACACCCACGACCGATCTGACTCCCAGATCGACCTCGATCTGA